GAGCCCATCTGGTGTTGGTTTTAACCCTCCTTTTTGAATAGCTTCATTGAGGTATAATTTATAACTCATAATTCATAAATTCTTTGCTTTGAAGTGAACAGTTCAATGGTTTTTAGTATAATCAGAGTTGTGCAACCATCACCACTATCTAATTGCAGAAAATTGTCATACCCCATTCCCCCAGGCTCTGGCAGCCATGAATCTCCTCTCTTTCCCTCTGAATTTCCCCTCTCATGGAAATTTTGTGGCTGGTGGTGTCTGTTCTTCAGTGCATCTCAGTTCACCGAACATTTACTAAATAATAGCTGTGGGGCTCTGGGGAAACGCAGGTGAGTGAGGCAGCTAAGAGGGAGTCAGCGCCCCCCTTGGTAAGTAGGGGCTGAGAAGGGTGCACCTACGGCAGCCCAGAGAGCCAGTGGGGCGCCTGGTCCAGGCTGAGGGTGCAACAGAGCCCTCAGGGGATGTGGAGAACCTTCTTCTCCCACCCACACCAGAAACTCGGTCAACTTATGTCCTGTAGAATTACAAAGACACCACTTCACTGGTAGAAGATGGGCTTCCCAGTTCTTGAATTTGCCACGCCCCTTCCATCCTCTGCCTGGACAATTGTGCTGCCCTCCCTGCCTCCACGTCCCAGTCCCCTTGGTTCACACCTGCCTGTCCTACAGGGCTGGCCTGTGGGGCTTGTCTCAGCGAAACCCCCCGGTCCAGACAAGCCTGGCCACTCGGCTGGCCGACCTCACAGACCCGCCTTCTCCTTCATGGCGCGTGTCACAGCTGTAGCTCCCTGAGAAGGCTGTCACTCTTCAGTGTCTGTCTTGCCCCCTAGGACTGGGAGCATGTCTGTTTTGTTCAGCCTCGTGCCCTAATATCGGGCCTCACTCCTGATGCCTGATCCCCGTACAATATACGCGATAAGTGAATGACATCAGTGCTGAGTGGGGAGACTGGCATTATGTACTTGGGGACACTGAGATCCACATATTCCCCTGTGGGAACCCTTCGGTCCCACGCTGCCATATTTGGGATGAAGTCAGTCCCAAGTAGTTTTTTCCCTAATAAAGACCACCTTGTCCCCTGCCAGCCTTCCTGCCAGCACACACTCTGCAGGATGTGAATGTGATTTCATTCAAGTGACAGTCGTCCACATGAGGCACTTGATGACATTCTCGGTCATAAAGTAAGTCATTTTTTAAATCTTGTTCAGCACCTTTGTAATAAACAAAGCCCCGAATGACTCTGCTGAAGAGGCGCCTTCGCTAGACCTCTCATTGTCCTGGCTGCTTCTGATAACTCTGGCGGCACCTACGGTACCACTTTTTACTCATTCCATTAAATGGGAAAACAGTGTTGGCAGCAGTCACCAGTCTCTCCCTTGCAGCTGCATCAGGAAGCCTGGGGAACATGTACTTGGAATGATTTGATGTCTTTTGGTCAATGATGCACCTAATAAAATGCCTTGTCACAGAAAATAGAAAGTCAAATGGCATTATTTGTAGGTTTTGCGGTTTGGTCTGTTCAGTCGTCAGTGGCTCAAATGCAGATGTCCTGGATCATTTCAGATTTCAATAAAAATAATGCCCCATGGGGCTCTTCTCTGGGGTCATTGGGAAAACAAAACTACAGTGTGAGTCTAAGACTTTGAACTAGAAAAGCCCTGGCGCACGTCACAGGCTGCCGGCCACCGGCCGTGGGAAGAGCCGCTCAGTTTGAGGGACTCGCTCTAATCACAGTAATAGTGCCTCATGGCCCCGCTCAGGAAGTCATAGTACATGTTACTTTTTTAATGTCTTGGGTGACTCATTTTTTTTAAGTTCATGAGATGTTTATTTAAAATGCTGTGAAGGTTTGGCCACGCAAAAGAGCTGAGAAGTCTAGACTGCTGAGTTGCTATGTGAAGAGAAGGATGCGGAAGGATTAGAAAGTCCCCAGTAGTTCCGGAGAGGAACAGAAGAACAGCAATGGCGCTATTTCTCAAACACTGTGCTTGACGGTCTTATTTTGTGGCACGCCCTGGGACATAATCTTTAGAAGCAGATCTCATTGAATCCTTGTCGCAACTCAGTGGCGTGGATTTTGAGATCTCCGTTTGGGAGCTGGGGAACTGAGGCTCAGAAGTGCAGACACTTGCCCTGGTGGGGGCTGCAGGGTCTTTTCTGAGGACCCTTCATCTTGGAGGATTCTTGGCTCAGGGTTGAGGGTAGGTGCTGTGTACCTTACCATGGCCCCAGGTGCCTGTACTGGGAGCAGGATGGGCCCCTGGGTTACTCTGCTGTCTCTCAGATGGTCCTCCCTGCCCCTCCTACCTTGGTGGCTACTCACCAGGGCTGAGCGGCCACTAATGTGTTTTGTCTGCCTTTCTGCTGGTGGCGGCCACACGGTCTCACCATGTTGAGCTCCTACGGAGAGAAGTAGCCACAATGACTCAGTCTTTCTCTTTGACCAGTTACAATGGCTTTTGTTTCTAAGTGATGTTTTATCCCAAAGATATGACCCACTTTCTGAATATGCCTTGGTGCAGTTTCCAGGCGATCTGAAAGCTGGTCTCTGTAGGCTGACCCTGGAAATCAAATTCCTAGAACACTTATGTGGGAAGGCCTGTAGCTGCCGTGGACTTGTTCCGTGCTCTTAAATGTTCCTGATGGGGTAACCGACGCCCAGAGAGGGGCACGGGGCCCACACAGGACACCACAGGACAGGGTCAGGAATCTAGCCCCCGATTACTGTTCTCATATTTATTCATCCGCTTCCCTCCACCAGCTTAATTCTGCGCGAGGAGAGCAGAGTGCTCTTCCAGGTGTTGAAGAGTCAACAGCCAATGAGACAGACACAGCCCGTACCTCCGTGGGGTTAAGTCCCACGTTAAACATTAATAATCACACAGTTCGGCATTATTTGCCTTTCTGATCCCACGGGGGATAATGAAAGTGTGTACCGGGGAGACCTGGCCTAGTCTGGAAGTCGGGTGAGGCATCGTTGCACAAGGATGTCAAGTTGAGTTCCGCAGGATGAGTAGAAATTGAATAGGCGAGGGGATGAAGGGAAGGGATGCCCAGGATTGGAGCAGCATTTGTAGGAAGGAGAAGAAGGCTGTAGAAGCAAGCTTTGTGGAGGAATAGAAGGGAAGACAGTGGCTGCTGTAGAGCTGGGGGCTGGAGATGGCTGTGGGGTTCGACAGGACTAGGTGTGTGGCCTTGAAGTCAAGTCCCTAAGAGCAACGGGAAGGATGTTGATTGGGAGGATAACCTTATCTATTTACCCTTGAAGAACCATCACTAGCTGCTTGTCCCCACTCCAGGCTCCAGAGCGGTGGCTGGGCACTCGGTCTGCACACAGTGGGTTTCATGCTGCCGTCACAGAAATGCCTATGTTCCTTACCTGCTTGGCAGCTATTTACAAATAAAATTACATGTACTAAATTGCCAAATTTATTTAAAAGAGCTTAAAGCTATTTATTACAGAACTATTAAACATTTTGCTGTTAGTCTAGGAAAAATGCTGAAGGTAGAAGCAATTCTTCAAAAGGTAATAAAATACCAAAATATTGTCCCCCTTCCTCAAAAATGATCCCGGTTATTCTAGAGGGAGCCAGGATACCTATATAACGAAAGGACTGATACCTGGAATGAAGAAATCTCAGTGTTGAACAGTTTGTTTTCTTGGAAGATAAATTTCCTTGATGACCACCCCAGACTCCCTTGCAGGAGACCCAGAAGAGTCAGCTTGTAACTTACACGAGATCTGTTTTTAGTGTGTTGCGTACTGGGAAGTGTCTGGAAATGTACCATCTTGGGCGCTGATTAGTTAATAAGCAAAGCCATTGCTCCTCACCTGAACCCCAAGTGCATGCTGTGTTCTGAAAGCTGGGGTATCAGAAAGCCTGGAATGAACCTGCAGGGTGTGAGCACAGCCCAAGGAGCAGAGCGGGTGCAGAGTCGACCCCAAGGTTCAAGTCCAGCTGCGTCACTGACAAGGGGTGTGGCTGTGGAGAGCTCTGTGGGCCTCTCTGAGCCTGAATTTCTTCTGTAAAATGGGCTGAGGCTACGGCCCATAGCAAATGTGGGCAATTCAACAAGATTATGAAGATGAACGTGGAAACCCTCAAATGAAGAATGACCGCTCAGCCTGGCAGGGGCCTTGTGAGGGTTCCAAGTTGCTTTTGTCAGGGAGGGTTCCCATTGCCTTGGCATCGTTTTGGCAAGAATAACCCATAGACACTGTTTAAAGGGCACGTGTGCACACATGCACACACACACAAAATGAGGGGTTTTGGGGTGGGCTGCTTTCATGGGGTCTCTGTTGGGCACCAGCTGAATGCCCTCTTTGAATGCAAGGGGCCACACTGTGGAGAGGGGCCTGTTTGGCCTGCAGACACCCTCCCCCGCCTTGTCTGCCCTCCTCACGCGATGAAACCTGTGGTTTGTTGGAGGGATTGGCCCCTCCCACCAGGTCTGCTGAGTCAGCCAATCCTACTGTGTCATAAAATGTTTTATTCCCTTTGTGACTCAGAAGCTTCATTTCATCCCCGGGAAGTCACTTACTGCGGGGCAGAGACCGGCGTGCCTGCAGGGTTTCTGTGGTGCACAGGCAAGATTGCAGGACTCCAGCGGGAACTCGTGAAAGAAAAAGAAATCACAGCCCCTGAGGGCATTTAGATCCCCTAGAGATGGCTGGAGTTCTTCTTCCAGAATTTAGAACTGATTTTCAAAATCAAGAATGCAAATCTGAGTTTGTGTCATGCTCAGATGCACATTTTATAGAGAAGGGAGAATCAAGTACACACTTAAAAGGAGTGTTTAAGTTCTAGAAATGATAAGAGTTTGCAGAGGGCACCAAGATTTATACCTCCAGTGCGGTCTCTCTTCCCTTTGGTCTTTCAGGGGGTCCAACAAGCAAGCCAGTCATTGGAACCGGTAGGAAAAATGCTTTCTGGAAAACATAACTGGCCACATTTGAACAAATCGTAAGGCATTTCTCCTGGTTTTGCTCTTTCCTCCTAGATTCTTTTGTTGGCGGAGTCATTGGCCTCATTTTTGCCTACATCTGCTACAGACAGCACTACCCTCCTCTGGCCAACACAGCTTGTCACAAACCCTATGTCAGTCTCCGAGTCCCGACCTCGCTGAAGAAAGACGAGAGGCCCCCAGCCGACAGCGCCCCCAGCCTGCCCCTGGAGGGGGTCACCGAGGGTCCCGTATGACCCGGACCTCGGGAGAATGGACGCTGAGCCCAGGGCACGCTCTTCCACCCCGACCTTGTAACACCAGAGAAGAGGTTTTCTGTAGTGTGTTTCTCATCAGTTCTTTCTCAAAGTTATCTTCCGCTTCCATTTTGCCAACGGTGTTCCTGCTACTTTAAATGTCTACTTTCAACCCTCCTGAATTTGCGAAGGAAGGACCCAGGAACATTCTCTGAGAGACGTGTGGAAGGGGGCTGTAAGGGTGGGTGGGTGCGGCTTGGTCGATTCCTCTGTCTGAAAGGTTTGTTGTCACAGCCTCCGTCCTGTGTTTTCATGGTTGTAAAACATAATAAAAACTCCCACCTGGAGATGTGATGTTGGCCGTTCAGCACACAAAGGTCATACAGGGATGAAGGAGTTTCATACCGGTCTGCAGCCAGGGTGGGGAGCCGGCCCAAAGCCAGCTCGAGTGTAGCCATTCTAGGTGTTGAGCTTGGGGCCAAAGGTGGAGAACCTTCCAGAATGAACAGTCAGCCCCTCAGAGCATATGAGTCTGAAATGGAGTTGCAGCTTAGACCCGCAGCCTTAGTATGTCTAGGGCTGTTGGGGTCACTGAATCTAGAAGGAAATGAGATGAATAACCTCACAAGTAGGCTTCCGCCAAACACGGTGAAAATAAAGGTGCCTGAGTGCCAAGCTTGGGGGGTAGGTCACTGTGGTTTTCTGAGGGCTCATGGGTACCATATCCTCTCACGGGAACGGCTGGGTGATGCTGCAGGTGAGCAGCAGCCTCCCTCCAGGTGGGAGGCCTTCCCCCTTAGGATCCCAGTGCTCAGAGGCTTCTTCAAGCAGCAGCATGTTCCCATTCCTGTCTGGCAGGTGGCGTTTCAGCGTGATAGGGCTCCGGCAGAAGGTGCCAGAGCAGAATCAGGAATACGCTGTGTCTGGCTCAGCTCTTCACATTGTTTGAAGGCTGCCAGTCCAGGACAGGTTTTAGCCTGAGTGCAGAGCACGCTGCTCCTTTTCCAGCTTGTTCTTTTCAAAGCCGTGAGCGTCCCTTCGTTCAGTTCTGATCAGATGCACCAGGTGGTTCTCCAGATTCCTCAGCCTGCTGTGAAGGGACGCATTTTTGATGTCAGAGGACTGTCACTTGCCAGCAGATCAGGTAACAGACTGCATTTGGGAAGACTCGAGTGGCTGTGTAAGTGGTCCCCTGAGAAGCTCTGCGCTGGGTGGGCCACTTAGAACCATCAGGGTGCCTTTGATCAGCCATCTCCTCTGTGGGCTCAGCCCAGGGGGTGCATGTCCCCCTTTGTAAAGACCTTGTCGGATGGGCCCCAGTGCAGCCCTCTCCAGCTGTGGTCCTTCCAAACCTGCGTGGGCACCGAGCTACGGAGCAACCATCCTGCTGTGGGGTCGGGGGAGGGGAAGTCTTGAATTGACATCAGTCCAAAGTCAGATATTTTTAAATTGCAGCAGTTACACTCACAAGCAAATTTAAAAACACGTGTGAGATACTTTAAAAGCTAAATCATAGAAATTCATAAGGTATAATTTTAAATCCAGAGCCAAAATACATAGACAATTTAGAAATTTAAACAATATTCTGATTTAACTAAAAATTCCGTAATTTTCAAAATAAAGTCAAAAGTGAAACGGCAGGAAGAGGATCCTTTCCTACCTACTGGTAAAAAAAAATAATAAACAAAAAACCTCATTCCATGTAGCCTGTATACTTTGATTCTAGTTTTACCCATACACTGCATAGCAAACAGGCTGAAAATGAGTTGCCCTTCAGTTAATGATGGCTTAAAATTCTGGACCATGGAATGTAAACTTAATATAAATACTTACATTTAAAGATAAATGGAAGGACTCTGAAAAATAACAAAGAATAGAACATTGTTAATGCTGATGATTAAATTGAAAGGCCTAGGAGAGGCTATGTAAAGCTCTCATTAAATTGTAATTAAATTACAAAGGACTTAATAACACGAAGTGCATGGCAGGATCCTTAGGAGACATAATTAACAGTTTGAGCTGGTTCACAAAAGGCAGGTGTTTTTGTGGATCCGTATATTTTAATTTCATGCTCTATTAAGGTGAAGGAAATGTAACGTTGCAATGCAGTAATAAAACAGCCAAGAATAGAGGGATTTGTTCCCCAGCCCCTGGTCTTTTTTGGATGTGAGAGGTTACTAATTCATTCTCTTTGGCCAAGCAGGTGGCAGACAGCGCAAACAGAGCCCAGCCTGAGAGCTGTGATCTGCAAGACTCTTCTGCCCTCCCGGAGTGAACCTGCTTGGAATCCATCTGCGCTGGGAGAGAAGCTGCTCAGAATCCATCTGCGCTGGCTGGACCTGACCTGTGGCCAGCCGCAGAGGTAAGGGGGCTTGGAAGGGAGAGTCCCGGCATTTTTTCCTGTTCCCTTTCCCCAGGTCCTCAGGTCACATGCACACGGGGCCAGGGTGGTTTCCTTGTTCATCTGATGACTGATTCCCGGGTGCTGCCCCCGAGCTCCTGAATTAGACCCTGGGGAAGGAGGACCCGGAATCCAGTGAACACTCACAAGCGATCCTCACGAGCCCTGCTGCCACCTCCTTTCTCCCCGAGGGACAGGTTAGAGAGGAGACCGCTCTACGGGGCTGTTCTTAGTGTGTCCTCTACTCTGGGAGGAGGGGGTCTCGGAAATGATAATGTTTCATTTTGGTTGATCTTTCAGCCAGTGCCGTGTTCTGTGTACTGTGGGGCCACTGTGGACTCATCCACTGAAACCCAGATCCTAGGCGTTTCCCGTGACGGAACCACTCCTCACTTACCCACTCTCCCCAGCTTCACTGTTGCCACCCTCTGTCACCTTCTCTCACCTAAGCTACTGTGATGCCTCCTACCTGCATCACCACATCTGCCTCTGCCTCCTAGCCCGTGATCCACTCGAGCCAAAGCCTTCGTGCGTGTGCACGTGCGTGTGTGTCCCAGGGCCCAGCGGTGAGGCCAGGTAAGAGTCACAGGATTGGAGACCTAGGACACATTGTCGATATTCAGTTCACGACTCGCAGAGTGTATTGCACACAGTTGGCACACAGTTGGCACACAACCGTCCCAGCGGCGTGGAGTCGGTCCTCCGGCAGTAGAGCCTTTCAGCCACTCGGCTCAGGGGTCTCTTTTTAAGGAACAGCAGTTCCCTCTGGGGAGGGAGTCTTGCTCTAACAGTGGCTTTAGTTCCAGTGATGTACGTGGCCCATCAGACTTCTCATCGCAGGTGGCACTCTTAGTTTATCAGTCTAAGATGCTCACAGTCCTCCAGCAGACATTTTGAAACAACTAACACGGACATTCACATTAGCCGTTGTGACTCCATTTTGAACCACTTAACATGTCTTAACATGGCTTGAATCCTGTAAGTTTCACACAAAAGCGATCACAACATAACTGTGTTCCTTCTTTATTAAGGTATTGTTTACATAGAATAAATGTCACCTGTTTTCAGCATCTAGCTTTTTGAACTTTGATTATTGTATAGGTTACGGAACCACCAGCATCATGAGATGCAGAACTGCTCCCCCATCCTGGAAGTTTCCTTTTGTTCCTCCGCTCTCCGAGCCCTCCTCCGTCTCTGGCCCCAGG